TAGCATTATCAATCTGGTTGCTCGCCACACACTGGTATGCTCCGTTGTCTTTCCTGCTCACATTCGTTATTGTCAGCTGCTCGTTGTCTGTCGACAAATGTATCCTCGAGTCGTCCCTGGGATCTATAACAGATCCATTTTTCGTCCATGATAATATCAGAGAGCTTCCAGAAGCGTTGCAAAACAGAGTAAAGTTCTCTCCTTCCTTTACTGGAACAGCTATTGGGTCCTTTTCGATGGTGGGCGTAACTGCAGAAACGGACAAAGGTTTGTTATGAATGAAAAATCTGTCTATTATTATTTTTTTTTTCTCTGGAGCTAAAATGGTTAAATCTTTTCTTTTTTCTCCATGGTGTTTTCAGGAGCTGGTTATTCAATCTTAGGACTTATTCTCACCCTTATCCCTACCTGTTTCATTAAATGTAACTTGAAGTCGAAGCAAAACGGAGATATCCCCAGAACACAGGAGTGTAAAGCACATTTGGATTTTTCTGGAGAACAAACCGATACTGGGGTATAAAATCTTTCCAAAAGAAAAAAACTAGCAAAAGCAAAGGAAACCTCGTGGATAGTTAATTTTAGAAATGGATGACATGATAAGACCTTCTCCTTCTAGAAATTTCATGTTCGTGTCCATTTTAATACCATACCTTGAACGATAATCGATGTTCTATTCGAGGAGCTGCCAACAACATTTGAAACATTGCATGTGTAATTTCCAGAATCTTTTAAGGAAACTGCCTTGATTGACAGCTGAGCTTGGCTTTCATTATAATGTGAAATATTCACTCGTGACCCATTCGGGGGCGCAGTGAGGGTTGATGCAATCACAGTCCCGTCTTTTATCCACTGCACCTCAGACGCGGGAGGCAAAGCGTTAAAGCGGCATGTCAGCTGTAAATGTGTGCCATTTGCGACAAACTGAACCTGATCTCCATCAATTGCCACCTCTGGCGAAACTGCAATTTATACAGCGTTATAAAGCAACTTTTCTTTGTTAAAGTGAGAGTCAATACAGAATAACCGCAATTTGCCTACGTCCCTTATATCAAGAACTTCAAACTGAGGAAAAGGAGCCAAATGGTAAATTTGACAATTCAATTAATTCAAAATCCTCGGCAAAGTACCACCAAAGGTTGACAGGCTTTGCAAGAACCTATATCTACATTTTTGCTGGTGGTCAACAACGAACTGAAACCATAATGAAACTTTTATTACTCGGATGTTTCGAAAAAAACTAAATCTACACTCACATTGCACAGTAAGAGTGGCTGGAGATGAAGTGGAGTTACCCAATATGTTATTGCCGACACATCTGTATTTTCCAGCATCCAACTGTTGAACATTTTTTACTGTCAAACTGTGATTTCCACCCTTGTAAGAGAAATTTAATTTTGAATTTGCTGCTATATTCAATTCAACGTCATTCTTTGTCCAAGTAACATTAGGCGTGGGGTAGCCTGCTACCAAACAACTGAACACAGCAGTCTGTCCTTCCACTTTTATGGTGTTACTTGGACCTTGGGATATTTCAGGCTTAACTGGTAAAAAAAAAGAAAGAAATGAAAAATAAGAATTTGAATTCACTGCAATTTCAAACGTATTTCACAAAATATTGCATCACTTGTCACTTGCCTTTCCATAACCATGCAGTTATGATTGGAGTAAAAGATAAGTGACCAAGAAAGACATAATCAACCTTTTCCTTCAAAACTCAAAACATCAAAGCCTACATAAATACGTTTCAGATCATCAAAACTGGCAATTAAATTATCCCAATGTAACAAAACTGAAGAGCAAATAGTTTTCAAGTTAACTTGTCGCTGGTGGTTACTTTTTTCCGGTGGAATAAAAATCGTTGTCATTTTTTTCAGCTCAAGATGGCAGTTATAAATACTCTGACTGAAAAAATTGAACTCTCATCCATAACCCTGAAATGCCCGTACAGCGTCTATCCGCTGGGAAAACGAGCATCGTGCAAACTGTGGGTCAGAAATCCTCATAACGACCAGCTCACAAGAGAAGGACAATAAAASTGATCTTCCAAAAATGTTAATCACCTAAGAGCGTTAAATATACTCGATTTTCAATTTCTTTATTGTTCACGTCAGATATACATTTTCTGTAATTTAAGATTTGAGATTACTTGTAACCATAACTGTACTCACATCGAACAGTCACCGTGGCGGCATCGGAGGTAGCTTTTCCAACATTGTTGCTCGCCACACACTGGTAGGCTCCGTTGTCTGTTCTGCTCACATTCGTTATAGTCAGCTGCTCGTTGTCTTCTGACAGACGGATCCTCGTGTCCTCACTGGGATTTATAGCACATCCATTTTTTGTCCAAGATATCGACAAAGAGCTTCCAGACGCGTTGCAAAATAAGGTCAAGTTTCCTCCCTCGTTGACTGGATCAGCTTGTGGGTTCGTCTCGATTGAAGGCTTTACTGTAATAGTGCAGAAACGTCATTTATAGATGCAAAGCTTTTTTATGGATTCTATAGTGGCTCAGCATGTGTCAATTTTTACCTTGCTTTAAGGCACCTTCTCAAGCCGATTATTCACTTTTATGACTTAATGCTCACCCTTACCAAAAGTTGGGGTTTACGTTTACACGTGCGATCTAGATTATGTATCTCCTGGAATGGAAAATCTCCTGTTAAAAAAGAAAATGACTTTCGTTTTAACGGGATATTTCTAAAAAGGTGTTGAAATAACTTTTTTGACTTAGGTATGTGTGTATGTGTGTGTATGTGTGTGTGTGTGGTGTGTGTGTGTGTGTGTGTGTGTGTGTGTGTGTGTGTGTGTGTGAGTGTGTGTATGTGTGTTTTTCTTTTAACATTTTTTTTTTTTGCCTTAATTATTGTTGTTGTCTTTTCTTTTTCATCTGAAGCCGTTCCTGAATAGCACTGAAATGACTTTTTCAACTTAAATGTAATTTTTTCATACTCATGAGCGCTCAGTCAAAAATAGTATCTGCACCTGTGAAAATAGGTTCGCCTTGAAGTCTCAGGGAAACACGCCCATGAAGGTCTTTCAATGTCAGTCGATTTTGGCCTTACGGTTGAAATAAGGTCTTATATTGGACCATAAAATAGTTCCATGACATTTACATCGAACTTTCGTTTTTGGTCATTGGTGGCCAAGAAAGGAATAGGCGAAAAATAAACAAAACAGAAATGGATTTATTACACTGTTTTAATACCACAGTACAGATGTTGTGTTATTTGATTTTTTTTTTATCTGCTGAGTTTACTGTGAGCTTATTGAGACACTTGTTTCCACAAGACAAGACTAAAGTGGCAATGAAGTAATTTGAGTATATCAACAAAGTTGAAATGGTAAATTGGCCACCGTTACGATTATAAAAGCTGAAGTTTCCAACGTTAGCGAAAGCAGCCCCAAACAGTTTCTTTAGAAACTATCAGCCTTTATTCATAAAGTAGGAATGAGACAAATAATGCTGCGCAGCTGTTGCACTTTACGTAGTGTACGTGTAAATCTTGTACTTACCTTGTATAACGATCAAAGTAGAATCCGTTGTTCTATTTAATCCATTTGTAACATTACAAGTGTAATTTCCAGAATCCTGTAAGGAGGCTGAGGCTATTGAGAGCTGCGATAAACTGTCATTATAATAGATTATTGTCAGTCTTGATCCATTTTTGGTCACAGTAGAATTAATGGCAATCACCTCTCCATCTTTTATCCACTCTACCTCAGACACAGGTGTAGAAGTGTTATATCGACAGATCAACGTGACATTCTCCCCCTTAGCTATAAACTGCTCTTGATCACCATCAACTGTAACTTCAGGCTCAGCTGAAATTTAATTAAAACTCTTTTTTAGTTTCAAGAGGAGGGGATTTGGGTCTATTGAAAAACGCAAAATCGTAGAAAAAGGTTTGGTGGCTATTCGAGATCAGCAAAGGCGCATAATTGCCGCTCAGATCGAGGAGAAACCGGAACTCAAATACGAAAACCGAAAGCCACATCGGATACCAAATCTGAAAAACAATCGTTATTTTCGAATAAAACCACAAACCAAATGCTAAAGAAAGAAAAATCTGCAAACCTCAATGGCCACCATAACCGAAAAACTGAAGGTTTTTGGTTCGCTAAGAAGCGAAAAACTGATCGAAAAATAACCAAAACCGCCAGACCGCAAATTCCAATGCCCTCTTTTCAAAGTGACATTCACCAAAGCCACTGGGGTCGGTCCGAGCGTCAAGATCTCGAACCAAATATTGTTCCTTTCCGGCCTTACATATTACATATTATTCTACTACTAAATAATTTTACCAAATAAGGTCATGAGAACGCGCAAAAATTTAAGTGAGTTATAAACCAAGCTTCTCCGGTCAAGTTGACTGAATATTAGCCAAGTTCTATTTTCGCATTTTTATAGACCGAGACGAAGTCGAAGTCCATAAAAATGCGAAAAAAAGAACGACCATAATTCTATTTCAATTTTTTTCATGCAAGGGATCAATGTGGGCAATCTCGAACAAGCGAGATGACCCCATCTTGCCCGCTCGGGTAGCCAATCAGAACACAGGATTCGCTTCATCTTGCCCACAGGCGCTGCGAGCGATGTAAAAACCCACGGTATAACACTGTTTAAACAGGGAAAAATGCCACACTAAGCGATTCAAACTTTGAATTTTCAGTTTTTTGTTTCTTTTGATCATATCTTTAAAAGAATACAATTTTTAAACGCGAAAAGGTTTTTGTTTGTTCGTGATGCCACTTAACGGGTTGGTGATGAAACATTCATCCTCAGGGATATTAGCCAATATTGCTGCCTTACGTTCGCTCCTAAAAAGTTAATTTGATCATGTTTAGGAAACGTGCAGATGGTTCGGCAACGGAGAGTAGCAATTACAATTTTTCTCGTTCTACTCCTCATTTCTTGATCAAACCAATAGAAAAACTTTGCAAAAATTTCCGTCTGCATTTGAAATAAGTAATTTTTTCTCAAGTGTACAAACAGTGAAAGCAGGCGGCGAGAAATTCCATTTTTACCGTTCGGCTGAACTGTCGTGGTTAGCCTTTCCATTTTGATGTCTTCTCGATTTTTACATGTCATTAAAATCAGTTTTGGGTTAAAATTACTTAATGACGTTTCTAACAGACTCGCGGGTCGTTTACACAAACCAAAGTCCATTTGCAGCCTTTCTTTTACGCTTGATTACTTTCGCATTTGCAGTTATCTTTCCGATTTAACCCCTTCAAATTTAGTTCCTAAGCAAAAATTTCCTCAATTGTCTGATGGTTTTTGCTGTTTATTGATCCAGTTAAGTTCCCCATCATTTAGTTTCTTTAAGATTTGTTAATCTTACTTGCAAGGAGAACGTCAAGCTTATTAACCAAAGTTAGCCATGTGCAACTCGTTGATAAGTGCTTTTAGGACACATTCAAATGCAAAATCTTGCGTCATAAGGGAAAGAAAAAAATATACATTGCTTTAAGAACTGTCATCTCACTGCGGTGCCTACGTCATTTTCTTTAGGACTGAAGATATCTTAAGTGCCCTACTGTCCTACCAAAATATGACAGCGACTAAAAAAAAATCTAACCTCGACAAGCTTATTTAGATAGTACTCTCTCAATATTTAAGGAAATTGTTTATAAATGCTGTTCTAGATTGGGTCAAGATTAATGACAGAATGTTTTCATGAGGAAAAACATGAATTGATGTAATTCGATACGTAGGGCTTTCTTTATAATGCGCGTTTAGATTTATTAATACGTTAAGTAACGTTCTCTTTAATACCGTAATGAAGTACTTCGATTAAAAGACAAAACTGAAAAAAACAAGTGTCTTCGTATAGTCTTGAACTGAATCGTAAAACCTTTGCGGGGAAAAAAAACCGACAAACGGAATAATCTGCAAGAGCAGAACTGAATTCAAAATTCCTTTGAGTCATTCAATCGTAAACCACAAAGCTCGATCTATATCAGACATAAGATATATGAGATTTCACTTATCAAGGATGGTCAACGTTGGTGCCGTGTTGCGCTTAAGATCCAAAGATTCAAGATATTTAACAAACAATAAAAACCGTTGTTGTATTCATGGATATTAGTGAAAAGCTACAGCTGAAACAAGTCCTGTTAAACGCACTAACAAATCCAATTCGCTTAACTGACCAAGTTATCGTCTTTCCAATTATGAACAGCAAATTGAATAGAACAGAAGTGCAAACGAAATTTATCTCCCAAGACTCCACATTAAAC